AGACGCTCTTCGAACGGTTGTCATCAGTAGGGCAGGAATGTCTGAAAATCGGGCTTGGCGACAGGCTGCTATATGCGTAGTCTCCATTGGAAATCACAGCACAACTGCGACTCGATATGCATCTACCCTAAGTGTCTAACATCATCACTGCTTTCGTTGATGACCACAGCCTGGAGCAGCTGGCTCAGATGGCGGATAAAATCCACGAGACATACCGCAGTCACCCTGTTAGCTCCGTCTCCCACCCTACACCCAACACATCCACAGATTCCGATCCAAACTTTCTGCAATCTCACAACTACAAACTAGATTTTATAACTTGATCAATCATCTACATCGACTGAAGACGAACAAGCATCGACCACGTTCACGCTCTCTATCGCTTTCTCATTCCCGTCCCACTTAGTGCTCGTATCACCAATCTTTCGGTCCCAAAGTGCACTAATGCCAACCGCCTTGTTCCTCCAATTCACGTTCCAACAACCCTTTAAAAACCTAGGCCAGTCAATATGCAAAATATCATTCGCTAAGATTCATTAGGATTTGAAACTGTAGAAGTCACGTTAACAGACGAAACTCTGGTGTTGATTTCAACCTGTTCGCTGTGTCTCCGGTGGGAAGAGATCATCCAAATCGAGAATTGCTGCCATACGTTTGTCATTTGAATAAAATATTAATCCTGCAGCAGATTGTAATAGAATTCCCCAGTAAAACATAACATCATCAGATTTGGCACTGTCAAGACGTGAGCAAGATCTAAAAACAATCGCAGGGATCTTCCCGGTAATTGGACAATTGGCGTTCCTGTACTTCATTACGATATTTTCAGTTCCGCGGTCTAATTCTACAAAAGTAGTAGGAGAGAATAAAGTAATGGAATGTTAAGCGTTTGCACAAAATTATCATCAAGCCCATTTGACTGAGGATGTCGTGGAGCAGTAAACACATGGCGACATCCATGGAGTTTTACCCACTTCACGAGAGATCTTGCAGTAAGGTGTTTGCCGTTGTCGGTGCTCAAAGCAGTTGGTGCATATTCATGGCCGGATGCTTTCCTCAATACCTGTTGTGTGTATTCAGCACTTAGAGAAGTAGCTAGAAAATACTTCAGGCCACCGGGAGTGTGCGTCATTCACAATTAAAGCATAGAATTTACCAAAGAACGGACCACGAAGTTCGGCACAAATCCACTGAACTGTTTCACAGGTAATTAGCCACGGATACCGATGTGAATATTTGCTATGAATCTTGCATATACAGTTAACACAGTTTTTAGCAGTATGCTGGATATCAGCATCTAGTTCCAGCCACCATCATGACGACCGCTGAAGAGAGAGTTTATCAACACACGGACGAGCAGGGTGCAAATCTGCAAGAACGGTCGCTCATTGAGTCGGTGAATTGATAACTATATAACCAAGGCACAATAAGCTTTCGCGGCAACAGTAAAATGCGGGAACTCGGCATCACGCCTGCCGTGTCCGGCTAAGTTGCAGCGAGGAAAAAACGGAAGCAAAACATCTTTTAGTATCAGCAACAAGTGTATCCTGCTTGAATGCTACCGGCTGAATCAATACACAGCCATCGAAGGAAGGCCGTTCCACGTAGCTGCTATCCGAAATTAAAAATTACCCTTATGAACGTGTACGCTCTGAGTTTGAAAATCTTCCTACAACGTCCCAGCCGTGTGTTTGCTGGGTCAACGGTGAAGACCCGTTGGCCAATTCTTGTTCATACAGGACATGATTAAGAATTAGCTCCTCTCGGAGGCGACGATACTCTAGGGGAAAGGATCAAGCACCTAGAGCAGAACGCGGTTTTGTGGTTGGTTACAAGGCCCTTTTTTGCACACACAAACACAACATTGCGGTGCACCTCTGCTGGACATAGTGGTACTCACCTACGCCTTATAATCATTTTGCCGTATTACACAGGCTCTAAACATCTCCGCTCTACTTGCATGGTCCAAAAGTTAGCTGTCGTTTAACGTGCCTCCGCGACTTGATACTTCCAGTGGGTTTTCACCGCTTTCTATGGAGGAAAATTCGGCAGCTCACGTTGCGTTCGCGTTTGGCTCGTTCGCCGAGCTGAGTAACTCGATTGCAAACTTTTCCTCACCAATCGAGGTGACATCATCAGTGCGTTACTGTGGAGCGTAGTGGTGCGTAGCGTTGGGTTAGTAGTTGTGCATGTTTTCGCTGTTTTCTCCGGGCTGACTGAGTTGCTTTACTGGCATAGCTTCCCTATCGACTGGATAAAATATCTGGTAAATGGAGTTGTTTATCATTACACAAGCCGCAATCACGGGTGCCTGGTGGTTGCCATCCTGCAGATCTTGCATCATGCGCGTGGGATGAAAACGTCGTGTTGTGGACGGGTACGCACTGCGGAGAGGGTCGCTCTGTTACGCTGCACCATGGTACGAGCACCGCGCAGGTAGTACGGTTGCGTCGCCCACCGCCGGTGTTCCTCGAATATACCAACCAAGCTGTCTACTCAGGACACAGAAGTAGTAACCCTTATTGAGAGTGTTTAGCGTGCTGCTACAAAAACAGCTTCCATCCTTTTATACATGGACTATGCAACGCTTTTCGCGGTGCTAAATATTTTCCCCTGGGGTATCTTCGACTCCGAGGGGATATGCTTACTTTTGCCCTGTTTCAACAAGGTTTGGCCAACGGGGTTTCCCCCACTGACCCAACTATCACGCGGCGGGGACATGGTAAGAAGCTTTCAGCGCACAGAATGCACAATATCTTAGGGAATAATCTTTATCGTTTAGGGTAGATGGTGTGTGGAATAACCTCCCTCCAATGGTTATCTACGCTGTATCTGGTACCCAGTTCAGAGCATTCTGAGGCACTTTGTAGTTAAGTCGACACCCTGGCGAGACTACTGATCCGCGCGCAGTTTGACGAAAAGTGCCACAAACTTTATTATCTAGTGTTATTTACGTGAACCAAAGCCAGTGAACCGCGTTAACAAACCTTAACCAAGAAGCTTGGGCGAAATTCTGTGTGCAACTCTGTGTATTCGGGGAAGCATGCCAGCGCAAGGACTCGCGTGAAAAATACATTGGCCTATTACAGATGCCCCGAGAAAGATTGTTGCCTAACGAAGTGTGCATTCTCAGCGCGAAAACATTCGTATCAACGTGCTGAACGTCT